GGGGGGGTGGGGGGGGGGGGGGGGTAAGAGTTCTTAATATCAATTTCTAAGCAACTGGCAGATGAAAGTTAACATTCATTTTATGCTTTGTGTATTATTTTGCAAAAGCCAATCCTCAGTTGATCATTCACAGGTAAATAAAGAAGAGCTACAGTTTCAGAAGTTCCATTTATTTAGAAACACACTGAAGATCTTCTTTATTAAGAGATATAATGAATACCTTTTTGGTTTTTTTACTGGAAAATATTAGTCTGTGGTTACCTGCATATGTAGTCTGTTCCGCTGACATGCACTGAATTGCTTACATTAAAAAAAATGCTTCTGAGCTTTTGTCCCAGCAGAATGGCGGGGTCTCAGAACAGTATAGAATTACAAAGGTTTCAACATCAAGTTTCCCAAACAAGATCTTTTCAAAATCTCATCACTATGATTCAGTTAAAAACACTGTATAATTTGGAACAAGTCTGCCAGAATTTTTCACTGACTTTGTTGGCTCTTATTAAACATATGTCAGTGAGACACTTAGGCTGCATCTTTAAAATTATTAAGGTGGCAAAAGTCATGATAAGTGTTCAATAGCAATAATTAGCTCATCAGAAAAATATAATTGTAATTAAATGTTTATACTAGGATAATTTCCAAATGGTCCTGCTAATTGATAGAAACTGTCAGCCTCCAAAGAGTGATTTGGAGTACTTCACGGGAAATAAAAATACTGTACTTTAGAAAGCAGATTATATGATCATTCCTCAAACATGTTCCCCAGGTGAAGAAAGGAGGAGGAAATTACTCTGGCTGTATTTCAGTTTACTTCATCACTCTTCAGCCATTTGACTTTTGCCCTTTTTGATCTATGGGATACTACTTACAGAGCAGTGGCTTCTCATTCCCACCTGTGTGTGAATTGTAAACAAGGAACTAACAGAGACTTGTGTTTTGCATTCGGTTACATAAAAAGGAGGCAAGCGTGGTAAGTTTTTGCTATTATGGTCTGCAAGGAGACAGCTCTGAATCAATTTTTATACTGAAATAATTTCGGAGCTTTACAAAACAGTTTCCTTTCTTACTCAGACCAGACCCAAGGTTTTGCAGCGTATTAGTAGGATCACATACATTAATGTGGCAGTGCTCTGCCTGGAAAACTCCAGGCTACAGCAAAAAAAACCTTCAGAAAAGTGTATTCATATACAAAATGGAGAACTTGTCCCAGAAAGCATTCTACAGCAAACTAAGTTCGTCTGCGGTATTTCACTGATCTGAGGTGCCCAAGAAATGAATTTGACCTCTTAGTTCGAGTGCCTGATAAAAGAGCACATAAAACATTGATAGAAAGGAGTGCTGTAACAGTGTAAATTAAGTAAAAAGGAAGCTTATATGTTTTTGCAGAATAACTTATACTCAATAACTTTCAGTACTTGTGAAACACTTGTAAAGTATGCAGTTACTTTTGACTAAAATACTGGTAGAAGAATGAGAAGCAGAGCAAGTAGTAACTAGTCATATACTATTTCACAAATGTATTTTCACTTTCCAAAATTTTATTTAATATGTGATACTTAGAGAACATTCTCTGCAACTTACGTACACCACAGGGACTATGCTTCAAAATATAAGCCCACATACATGGCATTGTTTGGGGAAAGTACTTGTATTAAGACACAAATACAAGTTAATGTGAAAGTGTACGTCAAGTTCTTGTTTGCGCTCTATGTTAAAAAAACCCCCAAAACATAGGAGCGTAATAGGATTGCAAAACCTTCACAGATCTGGAGCGAGACTAAAAAGAAGGAATACCTTTTCGCCTTTTGACCCTGCTGGACCGGGATGTCCGGGTCTTCCTGTGACTCCCTGCACAACACAGTATCAGTTTATATTAGTTAAGAAACAATGAAACACAGTATTTCTGCATTGCAGCTTAGTTTTTAAAAGTTGTACTTTTTTAAGGTCATTTAAACCTAATTATGTTTCTCCTCCAGGTTTAAATACTTCTCTTCTGTTTGATACAACAGCTGTGTCCTTCTGATAAGCCCTTTGAAGGGTAAAACTTGTGTTTGCAGTTGTATTTTCACCCTGGCAGACTAAATGCACTGACCTTAACTGGCATCTCTTGATACTGCTAAGAATCGTGCTTTACTGCTAAAATGCCAATTTACATATGCCACATTAAACTTCCTAACTGTGTTACAGTTTTTGAAAGAAGGGAAACATTAGTACTGTCAGCAACCTAGGAATGAATAATGATCATACTAACTAATGTGATCCCATCCCGTATGTAGAAAATAAAATTTTAAAAAAAATTTCCAAGAGGAGTTTTCCCAGAAATACCAACATTTTTTAATGATATTTTTTAGTGACTTTAAATATTGTCAGCTTGTTCTCATACTTTTTTTATTGTGAAACCAAGTGATTAATTGGTTTCAGCACTAAATGTCTACAGAATGCCTAGCTGGAATTATATTTAGATTTTTATTACTAACATTATTACTGTAACTTGGGGACAAATACATAATTAACTGCAAGTTTGCACATCATAAGTCATGTAACCTCACAGAGTCTCTAGCAATGCCAAAACTGCAAACTCGTTTACGTTACATAAACCTTGAGCCCAGACAATGACAGTATTTTCAGTAACATCAACTCACAACATAGTTTCTTTTATTAGAGCCAATACGGGTCAGATTTTATTATCACTCTCCTGAAAGCCAAAAGAAGGGACAAGAAACTAAGAAGATGAAGTTTTACTGGATAGTTGTAGCAACCTCTGCAGGGAGAGATGAGAACACAGGCGATGCCACACACTTACAGACGGTCCGCTGGGTCCTGGTACGCCTGGCAGTCCGGGAGCGCCTTGGAGGCCCTGGAAATTAAAAAACACATGTCTATTTCCTCTCCCACTCATACCTCAAAAAACTACTTATATTCGGTGTGTCCAGCAGTATTATAACTATATTAAAGCGCATTTTCATCTAAAAGGTTGGCATTATTTTTAGGAACGTAAAAAAAGCCCCACTAAGCAGGGAGGAGATTGTCATTGAACAAGGTTAGACACAACTTCTTGCTTGACTGATAAACACTTGTCCTTCAACCCTTCACGCTGTTAGCTTATGCCCTGCATAAATTTTGCTCTTTAGTTGTGCAGATAAGAGCAGGACATTTGGCTTTTCCTTAGAGATTAATTTTCTATTTTCTATCACTAAAAGTTTTTTTTTGATGGTGAGAAGATGTCTACTCAGACTTCTCAATGTTACCTGATATCTAAATGCAATGATGCTTTCTGTCTGATTTATAGATTTTGCTTTTTTGATAACAGAACATGACAGTTTTCATAGTATTTAATGATCTACTTCCCTGCTCTTATTCTATTTGATTGCCTGGAAGTCGATGGATTCTGGTATCCACTTACTAAACATACTGGCGTGCAAATTACTACAGTGGATGCAGGTAGGATTCGAGACAAGCCTGCACGTCACTGAAATCTTTCCTCTGCCACAGCAGGCTTAGGTGCAATTTTAGACGCGTAAAAGTCATGCACTAATGAGAGCTAATCGCTCTCAGTTCCCCCCATCATCCACAAAGGGAAACAGGTCCCTCCCAGCAGTGGTTCATTTTATCTGCAGAGGGTACCTACCCTCTGACACGAGGAATCACCTCAGAAAAGGCGTATTCCTCATGTTAAATGCAGTGTTTAAGAAGGCACGGCTAAGGGGGTAGTCTAGAAAACCAGAGGTCTGTCACCCTGAAATAAGGGCTCCGAGAGAGACTGAGAGAAAAACTCCTGACAGAAATAAATCAGGAAAGGTGTGGAGATGGAGAGAGACATTGATTTCCCTTTCTTGCTCCTACACACAGAGGACACAGATCCACCTCTGCAGCTCTTCAGAGTGGCGATCCAACTGCTAATGTGTTCTCCGCTCATTTGGAATTACTTTACTCTGACAGCACAGTCACCTGGAAAATGAATGTTAAACCAAAGGAACATTTTCTGTAATTATTATTACTGATGTTAGAAAAACCCTCCCCTGAAAAAAGGAATGTTTTAAAAAGGAAGAGAACTAAGCTTCAACAAAGACTAAAGGGCTGTTTGAAGGCACATGGAAGTTAAGGAGCGTATTTCAAAGAGCTTCAGGTGGGCTTCTCAATCTCTCTTCCCGTTCCCATGCTAACCAAATCATAATTCTTTTACAATTTGTAAATTTTTAAAAAAAGTTACTTTTAAACTTTGTAAACTCTTTCATATGTATTTCTGAAAATAAATTCGCTTGCACCCTCATAAATTCATAACCAAAAGCTGCTGCTAAACACTGAAAGTATCAGAGCTACGGCAGCTAACCAGCTATCAAACGGTGAAGAAGCGTGTGAAAAGCTAACTTGCTAACACAGCACAGCACCCTACTGAATCAATAAAAAAATTCAGAATGAGTTTACTCTGGAGTCCTTTAAAAAAACCCTAACTGCCAGTTATAATCTTGCCTTTCCTTTATTACATTCTTAATTGCCTCTAATATCTCACTTGATTCTCAGCAGTCAAATAGTATCCTAATTGTTGAAACTGTTTTGCTAATGCCTCAAACTGCTAGAGTTGAATTATAGAGGTATCCTATGGGGCACATGAAAGATGTGTTATTTTCCCATTTATTTTTTAAGTAAAATTCTGCTTGGGCTTCGCATATGGCTGCCCCATCATTTTAAGGTCAATGTTCTAAATCCAACCTCAGGAAGCACTTGCTTTTAAGAAGCAAAGACATTATGAGCTCTATAGATTGTGTAAAAACAAAGAGGAAAAATAAGCATGATACTTTAGTCCGACAATCTGCTAAGTTCTGGGGCAAAGCAGTAGCAGGAATACATATCTAATGCTTCTGCTGCATCTTTTTTTTCCCTCATATAACTGTTTACTTTAGGAAGCCAAGGATCCTGATGAACACAGATTTTTTTGAGAATTATTCTCGTTCTACTACTGTTTGAATATTCTTACTATATTATGGCCATAGCGCCAAAGAAATGTAAAACGCTCATAACCCTCAATCAATAAGGTCTAAATTCCTTTCATATTTTCCAGGTGCTTTCTCTTGTAGCCAGCACTCCCAAATTACAAGACAGTAGTACATGTTTAACAGTGCCACTTAAGTATTGTGGAATTTCAAAGTGTTCACCAAATATTTTGTAACGGACTACTTATTTTAACTCCTTCAGTTAGCTAAGGTCACTAGGAAATTCGTTTAATTACTCAGATTCATTTGCTTAATAGCTTCTGCTTTGGTAATTTTATTTTTTTTTTGGACAGAGATTGCTCTTGAACTGTTAACTGCAAATATTTCAATATAAAATGAAAGCTATAGCAGCTATTTTGGATTTGGCACCACAAGTCACATGGCTTTTTTTTCTTCTCCATAATGACATAAAAATAACTCTAAGAATGCAGTATATGATGCAAAATACTTTAAATATTTTAAACTCAGTCTCTTCAAATATTTTCCAGTTTCCACTTAATAGTAATTGCTGCTATGACTGTTCCCATCAGAGTATTTGCCTAATGGAATGTTTTTGAAAGTGAATTTTAAAGGGGAACTAACACAATGAAGGCAAATATTTTATAAAACATGAAGTATTTTCTGAAAATATTTGGCATTTGCCTATTTATTGCTCTATTCTATACACCTAAAAATTAGCATTTAAATGCCTGTGAGGCTTTAAAATATACAAATGAGCAAAAATCCTCAAACAAAAATTAAAAAGATGTTTTTTAATTGAGTAATAACATTTAATCTTGTTGAAAATTCAGAATTGAGGGCTATTTATAGTGATACGTTACTATCTCAGCAGTTTCAAAGAACTGAATAACATTCTGTGCATTTCATTCTCGGTCTAGATCTTTATTCAGGTTCAGATAAGAATGCAGCCACTATAGAAATGAAGTAATTTTACCTCATCGCCCTTTTCTCCAGTAAGCCCAGGAAATCCACGTTCACCTTTGCTTCCCTATGAAAATGTAACATTCGAACAAATATTTTCTATTAGAGAACAATGAATTTCATGCTCTGCAGGGCATTTTATGACCTATATTTAATATATGCTAGTATGAAGCCCTTACAGCAATAGTGCCTAAAACAGAAACTTTAAAATATGCCTCCCATCAGGGTGAAAGGAAACGAGTGGTTTTTACCCAGTAGGCAAACCAGCCAAAAGGCCTGACGGAGACATCTTATTAATACCAAAGAGCTTAAATGCTTGCCGAAATGGAGAAAGTACACTTTCATGGAATTAGGCTCAACTATAGGAGATATCTATACGTCAAACCATGTGGCATTTGATCTGATTACAGTGAAGCAGAGTTTTGATCGATGACAGTGAAACTGCAAGTCCCATGGGAACATGGTGCAAAGGCACAGGGCGATCCAGCTGTTGCACGCTCGAGGGAGATAGGGGAAGCTTCCTTCTTCACCACAGGATTCTTGCGTGCCTGACTCACCTAAAACGAGCCTATAGATTGCAACATCCTACTGGACAGTCAGATCTGAGCTAGCTTTAATGGGCGCAAGACACAGAAGAGCTATCCTGGCTTGGGACCTAACTCAGGCTATTTTGCTTACTGTCCTGAGAGAAAAGGCAAACTGACACAGAAAAAAGGGCTGAACCGTAAAAATCGTTTGCAACTTTAGGCTGCTCAGATGCTACAGGGATAGGGATCAGACAAAAAAGTCTCAGAAGTAAGAGCCTGGCCTTTTAACAAGCAACAAAGCCATGTAAAGTACTCTCTTCAAACTTACCTTTGGCCCTTCTCTACCAGGGATGCCTGGAGGACCTCTTGTGCCAGGATCACCCTGAGGAACAGAGAGAAAGTGACAAATAACCATTTTTGTGACACGGGCAGAAGGTCTGATCGATGCAGACCGCTTCCTTCCTGCCTCCGTGACCATCCCTTTGTTTTACCCCAAAACCTTCTCTTCGGTCCTTTCTCTCTTCTACACGATGTACTTGTTCAGATAGCCTTCCTTCCTTCCCTCCCCATCTCTCTCACACTCTGCTCAAACCATGCTAACAGATTTTTAGCTTCATTTTGAGAGGACTCATAAATGCCTTCATTGTGGATAGTCCCAGACACACCTCTGATCAGGTTTGAGCAAACCATCTTCCTTTTAAGGGGTAGGTAGAGAAGAAAGCTACTTCTTACTCTCACCAGCTTCAAATTTATAGTTATTTTAAATGTGATTCCTGCTCTGTTGACAGAAGCATTTTCCAGCTAAATTACAATCTTACAGAAGTGCTAACTACGAACCACAGAGAAATGAAGAATGGAGCATAAAGAATCAGTAAGAGAGAGAATTGATAAAGAGGTAGAAAAGCAGGTACAGGAGAAAGACAGTACAACTGCAAACAGAAAGACTCAGGGAAAAGCCCAAAGGTAGACCTAAAAGAAATCAGATTTGGGAATGCGAAAGTCAATAAACCCTAAGTACATGTATTAATAAAGGATAGTAGAATAGGATAATCCCTCTCTTCAGAAATGATGTGTGCTTTTCATATTGAAATCCTCCTGAGCACACTTTTCATTCTGGAATATGGCAGACCACTTCAAATGTCATTATTTTTCAAAATAATACCTTAGAAATTCTAGACTATTTTCCCCATTCGGTGTATTACCAACCTTAATGCTACAAAGTAAAGCAGAGAATGGGGTATACTTGTAGCAATTCATACTGTGGACTGGATGTGCTGAACAGGCACTTGCTGGCTACTACCTCACATACCTTTCAAACTCTATTTTGCAAAATTCCTACAAAATGCATTTCTTGAGTATTTTTTAAAAACAAAACAAAAATCAACAAAAATCTCAAAATTATTTTGGGCTAGCCAAGTAGGTCAGAATTGAACCTATAGAAACTTTCAGGTGTATATTCTGGTTTAAAAAGCATGCTTATAGTAAACAAAGACATTTAACCTCTGAAAGCGCTTACCTTCAGTACAGCACCCATGTCTCCCACAAGTGGCAGTGCGATCTGAAATTAAAAAAGGCAGTGGCAGTTAATGTTTTACACAACACTACCGATTCAGATGGGTTCTCACTGGTTCTAAAGTTTATATTGTTGCACACATAGCTGATTACATATATATTGGTTGAAGCTATTTTTTTACGAAAAATCAAAAGAAAAATCAGGGTTTCAAATATAGTTAAATATCGCTCTCTATCCAACCTAACAATGAAATTCTTCTTTACAATTCCAATGAAGTTCCTTAAACCATGACAACAGCATAACTCCAGAACATAGTAAATTTCACTTTAAAATAATAATAATAATGTATTGTTGTTTTTGTGGCATACCAGCAACCACTTATCGCTGTTGGAAAGTCTCACAGACTATTCTCACCTGATTATCTTCAATTGTTTTCCTTCTGCTTTCTCCTAGGTTCTGACTCTAACGTGAACTGTAGCATGAACTGTGGAGATGTCAAAGCTAACTTCAATAAACTAGCTCAGATACTGGAAATAATCCAGCTACAGCAACATAAGCAACGTATGCAGTATTTTGTCCTGCCTTTAAACATTAAGAATTAGTGCAAAACTCTGTGGTGCCACCGCTAAATTGCCACCAATACTAAAGCTAACGCATTTAAAGCTCAATCAATAGGTTTACACTGTACTGCAATGTATCTCAGATTTCCAAATGCTGCCATTAAACCTATATTTAAAGACTCCCTGTAAAAACTGATTGCACTGGTTATCATCAGCTTCACTCACAGACTCTGCAATTACCAATGCTGATTTCTTCTTCTTGCAATTGCTAAAGCAAAAATAGCCCTGTGCATGCTATAAAATTAGACACATTCAAAATTTGTTACCGCTTTTGTTCAGTCTGTTTCAATCATTCCCATCTTGAAGAAGAAAAATAAAATGTAAGCACTTTTGTAGCGTATTAGAAAAACTGTCGGTTGGTAGCAATGGGTGTCAAATACCAGCTCAAGAGAAGCACTGCTGAACGTACTTAACCATAGGTGTAATCAGGAGTACCCCATTTACAGGGTAGCATCACCACCTCTGAAAGCACGCTGAGTTTTCTGGGCTGAGACACAGGCACCTAACGCAACCTAAGGATGTAACTATGTAAGCTATGAAGTCCATCCTCTGCACAAAGGTAGACTGTACGAAGACAGTGTCACCTGCTCTTAAAAACTTGTAACAAGGCTTAAAACCAACCACCACATCCCTACGTGGCTTGACTTTTCATCCTTTTCCTTGTGGCAACATTTTACAGATAGGCAGGCCATTACCACGTCATGTCTTGGTCTTTCTGCTGGACTACACAAGTGTAATTTCCCATCTCTCCTCTTCTCGAATGTTCTTATTTTAGCTGCAACAGCACTTTATGATACAGACCCCTAAACCCTCAGCGTGAAAGGGTCCTAACATCCAGCTGCAGGGGCACGCCAGCTACAAGAGCAAGCCTGCTGCGTTTGTGCCATACAGCCCGTCTGCTCTGTACGCACAGCAAGTCCAGCCTAACTGCGAGCGTACCGGAGAGTCAGAGCTGTGTATGCTGAGCTCCAAATAAGTGTATGGTATGTGATGGGCTTTTGAAAATGTTAAAATGGCCTTAATTCTCCGGACTCACTCCTGCTTGCTAGAGTTTCCTTTAAAAGTGTTCTCTCCAAAAAGACTATTTCAGGAGAGCAAAAGGCAGTAATTCTCCTGTTAGTAAGTTTTACCATTTAGATCTGTCTGTTTAACAGTGGCATCAGATTTTTTACTCACATTTAGTTTACAGTGCACTGTGCCTTCCAGAGCTATTCTACTTAGGGATATTGTTTTTTCTCATTAAGCACTTTATGCTCATCTGTCTTGAGTTTAATCTTGTTGACTTCAGACTGTCTCTGAATTTTAAGTTTTGATTATATTTTCAAAAAGCTAGCAATCTTTCCCAGTCCAATTGCAAGTGTTTATATCTACTCATGCTAATGAAATTAAATCACTGACAAGAACCAGGCATGGGAGAGACCATTCTTTCCAAGAGTTGGGTCTCCAGTTGTTGGGACTCCAGACAGGAGCAGGAATAACAACTGAAGTTTTGCCTTTATGCCAATTTTGCAGATATGCACATTTGACTCTCCTGACTCCCAAGTAAAATAATCAATTATCTTTAAGAGTAAGGTTTGGTCTGAGGCACATGCAGGCTTTCTGGATCTTGCAGCGCTCGACTTCGCAAAATCTGTAAAGCTATAGCATTGTTAAATAAAAATCACTGCTGTAATACATACCCGAGAGGAGATGATAACTTCTAAAGTGTGGTGAAAGATCAGAATTTATTTAGTATTTTTGTTTTCAAACCCAGCCACTTAACTTTTTTTTAGTGCTAAAGGGAATTTATTGCTTTAGAGACTAACTATTCTCAGAATTTCATTAAAAATGAATGTCTCTCTTCTGCAGCACAGCAAAATTAACTTTGGAATCCCCAAACTTTTCTCTTCAGTCTTTTAACAGGAATTATCACAGTATGCTCCTTAAAATTTGCATTATACAGAACTGCTTCGGAGACTGAGGAACACTATGCCAAGTTATAGCCTGGCAGAAACTCTAGTATACAAACTGTAACACCTGAAAACAAGGTACTTATCCTGTATATGTGAACATAAGTTTAATTTATACTGCAATGTAATCAAGTAAACAAACAAACAAAGGATCTAATAATTGAAAAATCAAACTAATTTCATCAATTGGACTTCTACACTTGCTAGGCTCTCTCACCTCCTTTAAATTTAAAATATTTGCACCAAAGCAAATGCCCAAGCTTTCTGTGTATACATACAGGATCACCTGGAGGGCCTGGTAGTCCTGGTTTTCCATCTCTTCCTGGAGTGCCCTAGAAAAAAATGTAAAATTTGATGGCCTTAAACCATTGTCGAGGGACACATTACCTCTTGCTGTATATATAGAGAACTGTCACTTACATTAATACCAGGGGTACCTGGAGTTCCTGGTAATCCTGGGGGTCCCCTAGGGCCCTAAGAGCAGGAAAGGTCATTTAGGATTTAAGACTATTTTTCTTTTACTGTAAACATCTTAAACTTAATTATTTTTTTAATATTAAAGAGAAAACTTATATCCTACCTGCACACCTGTGGACCCAGTTGGACCTACAGGACCCTGAAAGAAATCTCCAAATAATCAGTAGTTACACTTTTTGGGACAAGGGAGATGAAATTCATAGAAAAATACTGAATGTGGGATATTGGTACAGTTCGCATTGCAAGAAAGACTTGCTCTAAGATTTGGCTTTAAATCCAAATCTAATTTTGCCAAAATCAGAGAATTCAAGATTTTGCTGAGGCATACCAAAGAATAATGATCTGTGGTGAAACTTGCTATTTAGCTAGGAGATTCATAAGAAAAGTTGATATTCAGTTGAACAAAAACAAATTAGATTGTTTAAATATAAATGGGTAATTTTAAAAATTCAGATTTGAAATTATTTGAACTGAATAAATTGCTTTTAAGGATAATTATTTTAGATTAAGATCTCACTGTGAAACTCTAGTTACCTTGTCAAATATTTTCTCTCTGTATCTGAGTCCTGCCAATAAACAGAACTGTATCGGCTGACTATATGGGTCTGGACTGAAGAGAGATTGCCCTGTTCACCACAGTAGAACTCATGTAATAACATGTACCACCTACCATCTACACCATCAATATCATCAATTTTTTTACTGAATACTCTGAGGACACTGGAGATGGCTTTATTTAAAGGCAATAGAAAGAAAGAAAGAAACCTGGGAAACAAGCTGAATAACTGAAACAGTTACTACTATACAAGTTTAGTATGAATTTACACTGCATCAACTTGCTTAGTGTTTGAATTATAAATGCGCAGAACTGTGTGAAGCAAACTGTGCAAAATCAGGACTTCCTGGCCCAGTACCTGGCATGGTAAGATTCTTATTTATAAGCAGTAGACCTAAGCTTGTAATTAGCAGTCATCACAAATGCAAAAGCTAGGAGCTGATGCAAAGTCTTCCACATCTCTTCCATGTGTCTTTGCCTTTTCCAGTACCAGCATGGATTTCAAAATGCCATCAGCTATGATGTTGAGTATACCTCTTCTCTTGTACCAGTACTCAGGCTGGATTTTGCTGACAACTGCAAACAATTGTTGCTGACAAACAGACACAGGTAGTCTGAAGATGTCTCAACACCATCACTAGGAAGCTCATCTGTAGAGTAGCCATTGACTCTTTCAGTTCTCCAAGGCTTCCATTTCTCACTTAGCACTAGATCTTTCTGGGTCTGGATAAAGGGAAAAGACGCTGAGTTGGGAGTCGAGTCAGAAGGGAGTTCGTGGCCTGGCTTTTTACTATCCTTTGTTTACTTGTTGCAGTTTTCTCAGCGATGTACAGTGAGAAGCCCAAATTCTGGGTGTTGGTATACTTACTGGTGATCCCTGAATGCCTATTCCCGGGGGCCCCATCTCCCCAGGTGCTCCTTGTACACCAGGTAGTCCTCTTTCTCCCTGAGAAAGGTACAAGGCTTTCAGTTACGACAGGTCTGAAAATGTAAACTAGCATATTATCCTTTTTTTTTTTTACTTTATTTTTTAGAAACAGAAATAATATATTTTTTATACCTTTGGTCCACGTGGACCGGGGTTTCCAGGAATACCAGTGGGACCCTAAAAAAAAAAAACAACCCAGGAAAAAAAACAAATTACATTTTGAAATCAAAGAGACTAGCTGAATTTTATTGCCAAAGTTAGACAGCCTTTATAAATAAACTATGACAGATTTACATATGTCTTTGTTGTTAATACCACTGTCACTAGGAGCATGTGTGAGCCTTACACTATTTCTAGACTATATTTTAGTGCACTTACAATACCGCTATAACATATATTTCAATTTTGAAATTACATCCAAAAAAATACTTGTTCTGATTTCTTTCACTGCACAATGAGAATTCTTTAACAGTTGTCCCTACAAGAAATAAAGTCATAAAAGCCTTTTCAGATTATGGACTTACTGGTCTTCCAGGCAGACTTGGTCCAGGAGGTCCCACATCACCTTTTGGACCTGGATGTCCAGGCGGTCCCATAATCCCACCAGGGTCCCCCTACAAGATAAATTTGAATTGCTAATTGAAATGTCAGAATTTCCTCTTATGAAAAAACTCTAAATATTATCAAGGTTATCCTAGAAAGTGCCAGTACTTTGAGGAGAAATAGTGAAGAACCACTCCCCGCCATTTTCCTCCAAAAAGTTACAGAAGAGGAGGAGGCATGGATTACACAACCACTAATAGTAACTAGAATTCTCTTCGTTTTCCATGCTTGCAACACATCTGATCTACATTTCTTTGTCCCCAAGCCCCTAATACGCAGGTCGTCATTAAATCCTGCCAATTAATTCATAGTAACAGCTTTAAACTGTCTCTTTCCAGCTATCTATCCCTAGTGCTAAACCCCGGTCTCCACCGTATTCCTGTTTACATCCCTATTTCTTACTTCAATGCATGCAGCATCTCTTACTCCACATCTCTACAACTCCTCCTGCTTACACAGGTGAATTCGTGCCCTTTATTATGCTGTCCTCTTGTATTTTACACGCTCCTGCATCATTCTCTGTGATTCTTTCTGAATCCACTACTTCCTATTTTGCAAGATGAGTACATTTTGTCATTGTTCCACAGCAATTTTCTTCTCCCACCTTTTTATCAGCTCATTTTGTCAAGCTGTTAATGGATTTTATTTGTTTCCCTTGTACCCCCCACAATGTATAAATACCATAACACATCACCCAGCTCACAGTATGCCTGTACATCCTCTTCTCTCCCCTTCTCTACATTCAATATAGACACACATACCATTTTTGACTCTTGCTGATGTAGCTGAATTCTAACTAAGGGATTTCTCCACAGCAAAATACAATGCCATGAAGAGCTTGGCTCACATCTGAGACAGTATAGCTGCCCCAGTGCTCTGCCAAGAGGAATATATCTGACTGTGAAGTGGGATTTTACACATTAGTCTAGTTAGGACACTACACTGAAAAGGCTGTTCTGTGGTCAGGACCCGAACCGACATTTCTGCACTGCACAGATTTAATGTAAGAGCCCAATGCAACCTCCTTGAAATATTACTTAAATTATGAATCTAAAGAGCGATTGGGTTGCCAAATTGGCCTGCAGCAGGCAGGGGGTTGCTGCTTGTACATTTTAAAATCAATTCATAAAGCAGCCACACAGATGCGCTACAGAAGAATCAAAGGTTACTTCAGAGATGACAGTCTAATATGCTCTAACATATCAAGCTTAATTAAAACCACTTAAAACATACCTTGTCTCCTTTTACTCCTGGGTTTCCTGGTACCCCATGCTCTCCTGGTAAGCCCTGGAATTAAGAAAAATATAACTGTACATTTTTATAGCTATTAGCTTACAGATTATCTAAAATTACAGATGAAAATGAGTTTACACTGGATTATTTACTGTGCATTAGTATTGACCCAAAATGTCAAACAGTACAAGTTAATGAATGCTTCTTTAATCAACTATGTGAATCATTTTTCTTGAAATTGAAATGTAATAATCAAGATTATTTTCTGGACCCTATCAGGGCAGAATGGCAGAGACTGACAGGTTTATGTCTTCAATTTCAAAATAATTCCAAGTCTTGAAAATTAATCATTTTTTCAAGGAAGGTGGTAGCAGGTACAAACTTAAGTTTTAAATAAGTGTCTCATCTTTTTTGCCTATGAAGGGCTGCATGATTTCCTACACTAGTTAATTATTCAAATTTGTACCTTAAAAGCCTCATTGAATTTCTACTCCTGCACATTACTTAATCCACCAAATTCCTTTAAAATGTTTTAGATATTTAATGGACAGTCAAATATTTTCAGCAAAATAAATATATGCCATCCTTTCTTTTGTCTAAATCTCATCTTTCACATTTTGATTTTAACTTCAGCATTATCCCTTGCCCTTTTCATGACGGATTTGTTAGAAATGGAGAGAAATGAAATAGATTAAAATCTAAATAGAAACCATTTAAATAATAGGGAAGGTTAAATTGTGTTCTCTTATTAGGCTGTAACAAATAGAGAAAAATTCTTCCATAACCCTTCAATGCTATTCAACCAACTATTGTATTGAGCAGTTTGTTAAGAATACCAGTAATTTCCACAGTAAATGATAAAACTGCCAAAACTGAACAGTAAAATCTAAGTATGATACTTAATCCAGAATGGAAAATGAACTTTCCGAGAAAAAGACAAAGAGTTTTGTGAACAGACATATGAAGGATGACAACATTTTCATGCCAGTAGTGAGGGTTCAACAGCTATGTGTTTGCTTTCTCTGCTGTATTTTCTTCTTAATACGGACAGACAGCTACTGGTTTCACCCAGCCATCCAAATTAAAAGCATAAGGAAAAAAAAAAGAAAGTACCTTAATGAAGAATATTCTCCTTATAGCAACACAAAATCATTATAAAAATATATGGAAGTTTAAATTTACTGATTATGGATCAGACACCGCATCATACCCTATCTTCTTTTAATATTGACATAAAATATATACAGTCTATCTTCTTTCCTAAGAATTTCTCTGATTTTTTTTTTTTTGGACCAAGATTAAGGGTTATCTTAGGAAAGGAAAGAAGCAAATCTGATCTGCTGGATGACTTTTTGATGATGTATGTGAAAGCAAAACAATTTTCAACCTTTCATAATTTTTATCATGCTACATAAGATGAATTATTATATTTGTTAACCCATAATGTTTCATCTTTAGAAGATAAAAAAAATGAGCCTGAAACTAAATACATGTTTCTATAATGTGTTTAAATATATGTTTTTATATACTAGAATTGTGTGTACAAATGAGTCTCCAAGATCATCTATATCTAGGATCTACATATATTATATGTAGTATTTATTTGTTCATAGTGTCAGTTGATCAAAGATCCAGCAGAACAGCAGTTTAAAAAGCAGCATTTATGAACTCAAGAGGGATGATGGCAACACAAGCAAACCAGAAATGCAGTATTTCGTTGTCTTTCACAGTAAGATTGGGGATCTATATATAAAGAAAAGCACACCAAAAAAGGCTTACAAACTATTGTTATAGAAGACAGGTAGATTAGATACAATTTAAAAAATGCATGCCCCAACTGAGTAGGAAAATAAGGTATAAAGAAACAGTCAATAAGTAACACAGTACAAAATGATTACATGCGGATCTGAATACTAGTTTTTTTTCCCTGCCAGGAGCTGAAGATGCCATACTCCAGCTGTCACTTTGCTTACATCCCCAAGAGTTTTAACAGGTCAACAATAAAAAGTCTTCCAGCTGTGTACCACTCAGAACTGTATTTTTATATTAATAACGTATATGACTTAAAAGTCTGTTCAAATTAAGAGTTGTCTTCCACAAACTAGTCTCAGAGTGTGTGTGGAGAGGCCTAAGACAAAATGCAGCAACAGCAGCTCCTAGATGCTTCTGTTTGTAGAAATAAGATAAAAACCAAAACCAACCCACACAGCAAAGATCAAAATCTCAATTCTTTTCAGATGAATGGCTTAACTGCTAGGCTGAAGCTAACCTCTCCATTGTCTGCTTTTCTTGGTCCACTTCTTGGATCTCAAACCTCCAAAATGGTACTTAAAAACCATTTTATGGTTTATGGAGGAAGGGAGGGAGGAGAACCGGGCTTCACTTGTTAGGTTATGTGACAACACCAGTGTTGTGGACCCAAACCTAATTTCAGTTTACAGGGGGGATTAGGCAGAACATAGTTGCCTGCACACCTAAAAAGAGATTGCGCTATAATTTGGAACGGAGACAGGCAGCCACCTCCTCAGAAGAGGCCTTCTGCTATACTAGGGTGTCAAGGCAAATGCCCAGGGAATTTTCAAGCTTAGCATAACGATGCCTAATAGTTTAAGATGTTTCCTAGAGTATTCAGACTGGATTGAAGTTTCACCTGCGCTCTTCCTGCCCGGAGGCACAAGGGTTACAGATGTGCTGGATCTCGGGGGATGCCCCTACCAGTTTGGGGGATCCTGACCGGCCAGCAGACCCATCAGTCTGTTGCCCAGCGGCGTAACGGTTACAGGCACACTAAAACCCCCATGATGGAGGCCTTGACATGACTTGACAAACCCCAACCAGTCAGCCGACCTCAATGTGGGGCACCCGAAAGTGTAATAACTACAGGCACATTAAAACTCTGCTGAGGCCCCCCACTGCCGCGACAATCCCGACCCATCGGCTCTGCACCCACAGGCATAAAGGTTACGGGCACACTACATCTCTGGTGAGGTGTCCCGTCCCCCCCGCTCCTCCTGGAGGGCCTCCCTCAACAGGCCATGATCTGGAGGTTCAATAAACCATCTGTATCTTGTTTCTGACACTATCTGACAGCCTGTAGTGAATCTGGATATTGGGGTTTATCTAAGAAGCATTGAGATGAGAGCTTTTACCCTCCTTGATTATCTCACGCTCTCAATCGTTCCCTTGTTAAGAGTTACGTTCGTCAGGTCCTGACTTCCCTTTCCAGCTGGGAGATTGTTGCTTGTCCGGGATGGACAACTTGGGCAGCAAGTTGTCTTGGTTTGTGTTGTGCAGCTGCTCACAGCTACCAGTCTCAGGTGTTAGTGACTCAGGTCCCTGGCAATTGTTTCCATGCATCTCCCTGATCTCCATGACCTTCCCCCATTTCCAGAACCTTTCCTCCAACCAGATCTTCCCTTTCTTTCTGGAGAGAACACCTCTTTCCCTTCAGGAAACCTTCTATTTTGGCACCACTTCTTCTTCCGGGTGGCCTCACCCCTCGGTTCCTGCCATCTAAATTAACTGGAGACCCCGGGATGTGTCACTTTTGTTTAGTCCAGGTGCTATCAAAATTAAAAAGCAGCCTCTACTGTTGCATCTAACAAGTAATAGGCTTCTGCTTGACAAGTCAATTGTTCAGGTTTTGACATTCTTGCGTGGACGCATAAACACATATTATCTGCCACCTGTCAGTGTTCACAAATTAAGCTATTTTTCACCTGTGGCAACCATATAATGGCTTTAGGTGCTTTATGACTGTCAGTAAGGCTCTGCACAATTAAATTGGAATATCAACCAACAATCATAAGAATAATCTCTCATTCCACTTTCTGCATAAGTATTTTAGTAATTTAATCTATTAAACAGTAATTAAAAAAGGAGTTTTCTATTAAATTATTTCCAACAAATACTTTTACTCTGGCTGAGGATTTTAATATTGTCTCTTGTTTTAACAGAATCATGTTTTGCTTTGAATATGAGTTTTACTCATAAATCTGACCTAAATTCTAAGATAATAAACATAATTGTTTATTCTATTCACCTTATTATTCTTTACCCCTTTTAAAGGAAGTAAAACAATTCAGAATAATACAAAACCATAGACAGAAATAAGGAAGGCCATGTGTTTAAATCCTTGGGGTACTCTTACTTTCCCTGTTTCTTCTCATTTTGCTCTACACACACTGTCCTTTCCAGCTCATGACGTAACACTATTAAAACTTTGCTGGAGATCTTTTAAATTTTCACCTACTCCTGTGAGATAAGAGTGATTTTTGTAGAGCTAATTATCTGTGAATCAGACAGATTAGTATTATCATTCTTACTTGTTCAGCTGGTAACACAAGGATGAAAAGAACACAAGCAAATGGCAGAACTCTATCCTGCGGCATCCCATACTACTGTGCTTCAAGACCTGATTGCTATAGTACCACGCACAAGAGGAGCAACTATGATAACCTCTGTGGTACTGCTTCACCGGCTAACTGTTCACACACCATGCTTCTCCAGGTTGGTGAAACTGCACAATACATACAACTTCTCCTGGCAGTCCCCTGGGTCCGACAGGTCCTGGAGGTCCTGGCAGTCCCTGTGAAATGATAGAATACACACTTGAGGTTAAAGTCAAGACACCTGTTGGAATTTGGTGTAAAGCATTCTCATATATAAATAAATCAAAACATCTGGCATTAAGAATTATCTTCTACATGGAGTAAGAAGTACAGAGTTTGCTCATTCTCCCTTAACCTAACGTTTAGTCCAATAAATCTTTGGGACTGATACATACAAAATCCAAAGTATGTATACAAAGCAAATACAAGTAAATAAAAAAGCACTACCTAAAGGGAAAGACAAAACAAAAGGAGTAAATCAACATTTCTTCCCTCAAGGGAGATATCTAGAAGTGATTTTTTTTACTACGTGGTAGGTGTTCCTTCTCTTTTTGGAACAGATCTCATCATAAGGACTCCAGAGCACTGAAAGAAAGGGGGACTGAAATGTAGAGATAAAAGGATGACTTGGTGGAAACCTAATGATCCTTTGGATCTCTATGAGCCTTTTCTGGAAGGTATACAGTGTGAGGGTGACCTAGATTTCCAGTGCAGTAACAACAATTATTTCGGTAGCTCCTACCAAGGAAGGACATTAGCCTCCAAAGAGCAGTCTAAGGAGTTAGAGTGGAGAATCATTTTTAAGACCACAGTTTCACGGACCCTGTAGCTGCATCTATTCCCCCTGGGACTTCTTTTGACGATCTAAGGAACTTGGGTACTATCACATCCAACGTGTATAGTATTGGGTGGAGGTTACATTTTCACAGTTTCCAATTCTACCTTTATTTGATACAATTCAAGGCATCATGAGAGATTCTCAAGAACACTTGTGCTTCAGTTACTTTCTTCAAAGAGAGGCAATGACTCTGCAGTCTCAGGATTCAACATAGGAACTGCTAACGTACTGGCAGTGGTACCCCCTGCCTCACTGATGGATGAAGAGAATACACCCAGCTACTGGTGGATTTGTAATTGCAAAATGGGTACTCATATTCTTGAGTGACCAAATAACATTTAAGCTTTGCATAAATATTCCTTGCTGACTGATGCTGAGATCAACAAGAATTTTATGAACTAAAATTGCCATGACCCATGCACAAACTTTTGATACAAAGTATTTGCATTTTCTGCCCTTTAATACCAGCTAAAGAGTTGATAGCATTCAGAGTCCTCTTATACAACAACATAGAATGTAATGGCTGTTAATACCACTAAAATACCTTTCACCTACCTTTGATCCTGGATTTCCAGTAAGACCAGGTGGTCCAGGGTCTCCTGTTTCACCCTAATGAGATTGTTTGAGAAAATAAAAAAATCCAAATTTACTGTTATGTCCCTCAGGATCAGCTATGTACCCCAGTGATGTATATAGTACAAGTCAAAAAATACCTTATTTCCTTTTGATCCCTCTATTCCAGTTTCTCCCTGAAAATAGCAGGTACAACCGCAAGAAGTTAAAACTTTAACTTAAATAAGAGTTTTATTTGCTACTTTAAAATATTATAATATAGTTTACAAACTTAACAAATATTGAGAAAGCATTAAAGAATTTCTGATGCCTTCTGCAACCTCTGGAAAGCATTCCTCTTTCAAACTAATTCTGTTTGCAGTTTTTCCTAGTGTTTTAAAGAAAAATTGTTTGAAAACACCACGTTTGCTTAAGAGCTTCTCCAGTCTAAAGCCTATTTGTCACCACTAAGTCTCTACTAGTGACACAGTATTTGTCTCCAAAACCACACATTATTACAGTATGCCTTATTTTGGTCATTATAATATGTTAATCACAAGTATCTGAGCAACCTTCAGTTGTGTATTAAACAACATAACTAGCTTTTGTCAAATGTCATAAGAGAGGACAATAGTTAATTAAAAATAAGCAACACATGTAAACTGACTTTTACAGAATAAGTGTTCTGAAAATATCCCCCAAAATAAAAAAATTATGCACATATAAAATGGCTATATGAAAACTGCCTGATGTTAAATGCCACACTGGAAAAACTGGTAAAACAATTAAAATAATGCAGTTCAGCCCATATATAATTTTGTGCAATAACTGAAAGAAAGAACCTTCAGGGAACAAAAAAAGTATGTACTTTAAACTCAGTTCATGGACTATACCAACTACAGAAATGCTGAAGAACAGGGCATTTCTGGTTTTTATTTATAACCTGTGTGGACCTGATATGTGTGTAAGAAGGAGACAATACATACACTATCCTACATAATCACTGAATCTAATGAAAGTGTACAAAGAAAAGAATTACAGCATGAATACAGTATGAAAATCATATCAAAGGTAAATTATTCATATCATCATTAAATCCATCTATACTTACTGGCTCTCCTTTGTCCCCTTTTTCAGAAGGCTCTCCCTATGGAAACATAGGGAAGAGGTTAACACAGATTTATTTAAAACGGTAAATGGTACATATGTCTGGTTTTGGTGAAGAGTCCTTGAAAAATTTTGTGGTTTTTTTTTTTTTTTTTTTTTTAAACCTATATAAAATACAAGTATGTGGACTACAAAAGTTTACTTGACAGATGATGCTGATTTAATTGCAAGACCACGACATGCATGATCCTTTCAAGCAGGAGCACAAGGGAGGGTCAGCAACGTGAACTAAAAAGAGCAATGCTGCGTACAAATCTGAGAAGTTCTCAAACACAAGTGCTTTATAACACACAAAGTCATGAATCTGTCATATCGACAGAGTAAAAACAGTTTCTGCCTGCATGAAAATGGCTTATACACAAGGATATGACCAAAGAAACCAACTGGAAGCTTAACAGCTGAATAGCAAAATGCCTGTTATTCAGTGGATGAAGAACTGGGTACATCACATGTTCCTAGAAAAACACAATACACACCTATCCCCAGTAACACCCCTGCCCTGCCATCTTTCTGGAAAATTTAAACTTAAACCAAAAGATATTAAATTAAGAAGTTTATTTATGAATTTTAATAATTTAAAGCTCCTGTTTTTTCATATAGATATTGAAGATCACATTTGTAACTTGAAAAAGTATGAATGGCGTCTAATTCATGAGGCAATCACTGGTCATAAACTTATATAAACATAATTTTAAACTGGTATTCAGTAAAAGTCTGAATGTGTTTACAGTTAAGGACTTTGCGAGCTGTTGGAACAGGGAAATTCATTTGCGTACGAAAATACTCTCTCAAGGAGGGGCTTGAGTAAATTACTGAGGACATTGAGAGACTAACAGCTTTTCCTATGCCCAAATATATTTTCTTGATCCTGAGTATATTTTCCAAGATTTGATTCATAATCAGTACATTCAGCCACATGCTACTATCACACATAAGCACAGAAGTAAGGAGTTAATTTACCTTTTCTCCTTTTGTGCCAGTCATTCCCAATTCTCCTTTCTGACCCTTTTAACAAAATAAATTATATTTAAAACCTTTTATATTCTAACAAATGCAAATAAACTCCTCCTCTCCTTCAACTGTACTTTGTTCTGTGTAGAGCACAAAATCTTAGCTTTTATTGCAATGGAAATCTGAGCTTTAAACATCTGCAAATTAATTTAAATGACTGTTTTCTATAGCAGACCTGCAGGCTTCTCAATAAAAAACATTGTCAATCCTGTGACACATCCAGAGCACTTGCCTCTCTTCTTCCAAGTTTAAAAGGCATCCAATTGTTAAAAATTCATTCCAGTGTTTAAACAGGACAGACGCCTATAAACAATACGCTGTCATATGGTACGGATTCAGAATTTGACCTCCATGTAATTTTTAGAGGTCAAGTATAAGTATTTTTGGTATAGCAAGTCCCATCATTACAGAGAAACTGCTTTAAATATTCATGATTTACTATTAAAAGTATTTTTTGAATTTCAACATTTTAGACCCTTTTCTCCCTAACTCGCAGGCCAGCTCATTTGACTTCTCCTCAATGTTATAGAAACCACATACAATTCTTCCCGCATTTTCCCTTTCTGGTTATCATGTATTAGAGGAGACAGGCTCATGTGCTGCACCTGCAGGATAGCACGAGGAGTTGGATATTGGACTACACAGATCAAAGAGCCAGGTGTATCTACAAATCTATTCCTTCAAAGACCATTGTGATAAATCAAATAAAAGGTACTGCATTAAGGGTGGCAGAGCCAGGTTAGATAGGCACTTAGAAATTTCTCCAAATTAATCCAAAATGCTTACAACATCTCCCTTCTGGCCTTTAGGTCCAGGGGTCCCAAGTAATCCTAGTAGTCTTGTATCACTCTGCGAAGAAATATCACCACAAAGATCAGAGAAAAGAACATGTCACCATTTATTTACAGTTACAATTTATTTACCACAACAATTTCACGTAATTTACTAGTATCTGAATTCAGAGGTCCTCATTTACTACTAGAAAGGGATACTAAATGCCTGTGCAGTACATCTAAGTAATGTATTGCAGCAACACATCCTTTGTCACGTGTTCAAACTCCAGTCAGACTAGCAGAAGGTGAACAAAAGCATAAAAGGGAAATGTCTATGTTGAATACTGCTATGCAAATCTGTGGGTTTTTTTGGTCTTAACTCAATGCAAAGAATGTATTTTTCTGCTCATTATTACAGTACATTTCTCAAGTATGTTAAAAAGAACAGTAAAAAACATTTCTCTCATATGACAAAAACACAAGCTTTTTACTTTTGAGCAGCATGAAATGTAAAATAGAACTCATTTAAGTCTACTACAGCAGTGAGAGAGAAGGAAAGGGAATGCATATGATCAACAGGGCTCCACACACTGCTTCTCAAAGAAAACAGACAGATTTGAGGACCAGGGGTTCAGGTTGTATACTTGCTCAGGTATTACTGCACTGCATCTATTTACTCTTCCGTACAAGGTAAAGACACAATAAAATACAAAGCAAGCTATTTCCTCTTCACAAAGCCAGGCTCAGACTACCTAAGGGGAACATGTTTTCTTTTAATGACAATGGAAAAAGCAACAAAACCAATGACCCTGAAAAATGAGCTCGAGCGTGGACCCAAGGAGTCCAAGTCCTAGAACATCTGCCGCTGAGCGGAACGGGAACCCTGAGCAAACCAGCTCCCCTCACCAAGTTCCAGTTTCCGTATCTCTAAAACGGGAAAACATCACGACGAATAAAAGTGCCATGTACCCTCTGTTAATATTTTCAGAAGTTGATAACTGAATATAACCTGAATAAAATTCATAATTATTTTATAAACGTTAATGTCCTGAAGGATCTTCAGTGTTTAGGGTTAGGGCAGTGTTACTACCCTAATTATCAAAATGAGCTCCAGAGCAAGAGGCAGATACCCAAAGAAGGGAACCTGAGTATTGCTGAGAAGGAGCTGACTACTGCTTGACTGAGAACAATCTAGGTGTCTGTTATTATGAGCATACTAGAAGTTATGATTTATTCTGAGCTGTGCATTTCTTTTACATACATGGAGGGAAAAAAAGGGTATTAGACCAAATAACTCCTTTTATGCTCTTTGCATTTATAGGTCATTTGCTCTTTACAACAAAACGTAAGTAAAATAAGCCGAAGAAAAACATCTTAGAAAAGTGATAATGAATTATTCAAGAATAATCTATAATTATTATGAATTATAATGATTTTGATACATTTCCTGAGCAGATCGTGATGTAGTTTCAATTGTTTTGTGTTGCAGTTTCATTTTTGTTTTTACGAGTTGAAGAACATTTTAGATTAAACTGATCTGTATGCCCTTTCCAAAGATGTTTAGAAGCAGGTTTGACTGAAGTGACCTTATATCTATGTACAGAAAACTGGTAAGTAAAAAAGATGACAAGCAGAGGCCTTGAAAGCCCAGGCAAAGGATGATAACAGAGGCCTGCGAGTGTATAAACACAAATCATGAGGCATCATTTACCAATCACTGAAGGAATGTAACCTACAGAGCAGGGCAGAACCAGTTTCTTGGCATAACAAAGAGAACAAAATGCATGTATCGAACACACACAAAGCATCTAATTTACTCTGAAAGCACAAAAGACATAACAAGAAGGAATATAAAGGAATATAAAAATAGTCACACGCCTTGCAAGAACAGGCACAAAGGAAGAACAGTGAGGGAAGAAATGCTCCAGCACTGTCTCCCCCCGCCCCGCCCTTAAGAAATCAGAAGAATCGCAAATAATCTGCTAAGAAACAGAGAAATTATAGAAAAAAAGACATTATTAATTATGATGGGTCTTAAGATCTCTCTCATCGATCCCCCACATTTCTTGGTAGCAGTTTCTCATGATTCCTAGAAACACCAATGAGAAGAAGCCATACTAATATCCTCAGAAAAAAAAAAAAGATGTTAAAATCTCTACAGCAACAAAAATGCAGTCACAATTTAAAAACTTTAAAAAACGAAACTGAAAGAAGACCTTGTGAGATCCTTGAGAACTTGCATAAAATGTTGGAAAATGACAAGACCGTTTCCTGTGGTGTAAGGAATCTCAAAAACCTCAGAATATCACTGAAATATCATCTTACAAATGCAAATAATTGAGGCACATTGCAAATTATATACTGGAATGTGAAGGATTGCTTGGTACCTCCAAGGTGCAGTGAATAAAATCAGCACTCATCATACCACATAATAGCGTGGGGAAAAAAGGAAAGTTACTGGTGCATACACCTGCCTTAATGAATAATCAATGGCAAAGCAGACAAGCTGTCCTTGTCTTCGATGACCTCTTTGATGTCTTAGTCTTGTCCTTGATGGGAATATCCCATTCCCATCATAAAATGTATAGAAACTAATATGTTTGCTGTAGCAGTTGGAGACTTCAGTTGACTCTAGGAAGATCCGAACAGGTACTTACAGAAAGTTTGCGTATGTAAAACCTGCTACTCGAATCAGAAAGCCATCTCCTCTCTTATCTGAAACTAAACAGCATTTCCCTGTTGAACAGTTAATTGCTCATGACAGAGTCATTAAAAATTTCAAACTAGACAGCTGAAGCAAGAAGAAAGTTGGTAAGCTGTACAGGATTTAAAAGATGATTAATTTATAGACACAGAGCAGCTGGTCTACATTTTTTCCAGAATATTGTTAATTAGGAAATATAAGACACCTTAGGAATTCCTAGAGTCTTATAATGATAAACCCCATAATTTTTGGAGATAGATGCTTGCCAGTTCCTGAAGATCACCACTGTTTGTATTTCCTCCTGCAGAATTAACCTTAAAGGGTCTATCAGGGTAAAAGAGATTAATAGTCCAGAGGTGGGGAATGAGTTACAATAAATATGGTATTGACAGAGGGAGTGGTGCTGATATCAGTGAAAGCTGTCTTTGGCAGGAAAAAGAAACTGGTAAGAAAATGAAAGGTATAAAACCAAAATACAGAAAACTTCAACACATACATATGAAATGGCAGACCTGAACCAGAAACTAAGTCTCCAGGTATGAAAATGGCCCTGTCCAGGACAGCATATAAAACTACGCTGAATTCCTAATGCATATTCTAAGGTGCTATATATTGATTTGGAATGGATTAAATATCAGAAATATCAAAGAAATCACTTCCGTGATAAAAGCAACTGGAAAGATATGTTTGACATAAATTTCACTCCAGAATCCCTACTCAAAAAAGGATTTTAGTACTCATCTGGGTATGTTATACAAGAAAAATGTCCAGAATTCACCTGCTCTTTATAGTTTGTATTTTAATATTAAAAGAAATGCATGTCTTCCAGGCTTGACCTGCATGACTTAAGGTGTGATACACACAGTGACCTTTGTATTAAGCAAATATTCCTGTAATAGTGCTTCATCAATCTTTGAAATATGATTTTCTAATCAGACAAGTCACATACTCACTTTGGCATTAATTAAGAAAACTTGTGTGAACTTTGAATTACGATCCCTTACAATGGCAGACACTACCACCACTTAAATGATTTGAAAAATCTGTGGTAAGAATTTGAAAGCTCTGTCACGTGGAACACTGTCCTATGCAATTTTAACTTTTTTCTATGAAGTGCTTGTAGCTGCAGGACATTCTATAATTAAGACAGTATTTTTATTAGTCTATAATAAAAACATCAGGACAATTCTCATGGATTGCTAGCAGATCTTTCAATATTACGCCTCCCTGTCTTTTTATTCTACTCTTAGGATCACAACAGAGTAGGTCAAGAAAGAAGAAATGTCAAGTATGGTTTAGAGCAATGAGGTTTAGAAATGGGGAGCTGGTGCTTTATGCTAACAGCTAGGTGGTCCGCCCACCTCCTTTTTGAGTTATACCAGGCAAAAATATGTGAGTAGAAGATGGATGGGAGGTAAGACACATGGCAGCAGGATAGATGACACAGTAGGTACGTGACTGGAGTGCGGCCTGAGCCTCTACAGGGATGCAGAAAG